TCTTACAACGACAGCACGCTGCCAGCTGATCAGACTCTGAAGAAAAGCCCAACAGACTTTGACGATCCCTTTGAAGACAAAAATTCTTCCCCTGAGGTATGATTATCTAATATAACATTTTAATCGGAATGATGATTTAAACATTTTATTTCGTCTTAATGGTTTTAACTAAATATGAAACACACATTTCGGTCATGTTTTCATATCATCTTACCGTTTTTTTCTTTAGTATTTTGGAGTTCATACCAACTGACCTGAGTAGAACTCTTTTTGTTTTTTTAAAACTTCTGCGGAAATAGTTTTCATGTATGGGTTCAAGTTTAAATTCGGAGACTGTCCTGAAGGTTTTAATTTTGATATTTTTTGTTTTTGTCTTTTATATTTGAAGTTAGTCTTTTCAAATCGAATATAACCCCATGATACGAAAATTCACCGTTATGGCACTTATTTACTTTGAATAAAATCTTTACATCGAATTGATGGAGAGAAAAATGCATTTCCTTTTTTTGACAAAAAAAATAGGTTCTTCCTAAATTATGATTTTACCAATAATGATCATGAATGACAAATTTGGGTCTTTTATATTATTTGTCAGTCAAAGTTAATGTCTTTATTCCTTTCGTTAGTCTTTCTTATTTGGCAAAAAATAAACAGTTTAACATGTTGCTAAAATTGATATATCTAATCTGGTTTATTGATTTAAACGTCCAATATTCTTAGATCGTGTGATTCTCCTCTGACTTTAGCATGGTGTGTGTTTGCTTTAAACAGTCTTTAGAGTTCAATGCATTTGTGATTTTATTTTCCAGTGCTCCAAATGGTAATACTTTATTTCTGCTGAAAGTGGTATATCTGAGTAATTATGCTTTGAATGTGGTTACTTTTTATTTTTTTTATTTTTCCCAAAATTGTAACTTTTCTTGGAAGTCGACTGAGGTTTATGTAATTGTGTTGATAACCAAAGGTTATGACTGTCACAGTAATTATATAAGCAACTTTTTTCAAGTTTTAATTATATCTTGAACTGATACATGTTTTACAAAAGTGACACGTCTTTTCAAACGTATGCGTTTATTCATACATGGTTTTATAGATATTCTTGAATTGATAACTTTGCCACTGCTGTCGCTTACATTACATGTTAAGTGTGTTATTTTCAAATTTTCCTCAAGGTGTC